AATGCTAATTGATTTTATGAATTTATATTGTATCCTGCTACTTTACTGAAACTCTTCATTGTTTTTATTAGTTTCTTTTGTTGTTTTCTGTGCTGTCCATCATGTCACAAGCAGATAAGGATAATTTTGTCTCCTCTTTACCTTTGCTTGTGCATTCGGTTTCTTTATTTTTTCTTTTTTGTTTGTGCAAAGTTTTCTATTGTGAGATTTCATTACAAAATTGTATTTCATGTATGGTATATAAGATAATACTTTTTGAAGAACTTCATCAGATGAGAGAAAACAGTGATCAAGAGACGAGTCAGTGGATGTGCTGGTGGTCAAGTGCCATTGTGACATCTTCCCTTGGCCTCAGAATGGTTTTTGATGTTAAAAGTACCAACCATTAATTATTAGTTCACAGATATTTGGCAGGTTTCAGCCAGTTTAAAATGACATTTTTCATAGTCATGCAAACAGTGCCTTTTATTTGTGGTCTATTTGAAATAACATTCAAGTTATATGTTAATACAGTCTTTTAAATATATTATATTCCTAGAGATTGAATCTTAAATCAGTTCTGCTGAAAACCTGACCATGACTACAGATGGTTAATATATATGGTATTTTCCTTGTCTATTGAGATGTTGATAGAAATTCTCAAATGACCAGATGTCTGCAGTGAACAATATTTAGGTAATTATTTAACCAGGAGGCAAACTGTGAAAAGGGAGAACTCCCTGAACGTGGTTGGATGGGAAGGACAGGAGTCACGGCAGTCATTCGTGAGACTTAACAGTGTCCTTTCAGCCACCTCTTTCTTAACTTGTATTCCTGATCACATTAGTATGGTTCCTATTTGTCTCTGAGGCCATAAATACTGAAGGTTTTAGCCTACTAACATTCTTAGGGGTCAGTTTTTTTTGTTTTTGTTCGTTTGTTTGTGTGTTTTTGACGGGAAAGCCAATGCTAGTAAAATTTTTGGATCCTCATTGGGAGGTTCACAGGATAAACTGATACTTCCCCTGGCAGTAAGTTGCTAACTGCAAAGCCAAGTTCTTCTCTAATTCATTTTTAAGTTGTCTGTAGTGTTTTTCTTACAAACAGCTCAAGAAATTTTACCAGTAATAAATGATTACCAATCCCTCATTCTTTTAAAACCCCTCCCCCAGCCCCCACATTTTGTCTTAAATGATTTTAATCATTTGGTAGCTGCATAGTCTTGAGACTGCTGGTATTTTATGTATGAATTAGGCAGTATCAGAGTCAGAAAAGAGATCCACTATAGAGTCTTTTTCTTCCACATTGAGAGGCATTAGTTGACAGATTTAAAGCATGCTTTTCAAGTCTGAGGTAGTCTTTCAGCTGGTGTCAAAGGTAAGATCTGCCAAGACCTTCTGTGGTTTGAACTGCAGTCATTTAGAATGAATAGGGTCTTTTGTTAAGGCAGAGAGCTTCTATTTACACTGTCAGCTTGTACCTCCTGCCACTCTAATCAGTGATGTCACTTATTGTTGTGATGCAGACTTTTGTTAGCCATACTTAGCTCATAAATGAGAGAAGAAAGAGGAATATTAAATATATCATTACAACCAACTCCTGATAATCTGGATATTTTTTGTTTTAAGGGAAATGAGGACAACTTGCTTCTGGCCTTAGAGGTAGAATCTCAGGCATAGTTATTAAGAACAGATGATATGTAACTTTAAGTAAATCCTAAACTTGCTTCTCTGGCGTGTTTGGGAAACAGGATTTTGCAATGAGTTACGTAATTCTGTAAAGGAATTGCCAACCGTGTATGACAACCATTTTACTTACTGGGCTCACTGTTCATTTCATATTCACAATTCTGGGCTTATGTAGTCAGTCTCACTTTGTATGTATTTACTGCAAAGTTTAGCATTTACTCATTTGATAAAATATAATAGTGCATACTTGTATGACACTTGACAAGGTATTTTCCCCATAAACAGTGCTAAAAAGCAGGTAGCACAGCATAATTTCCATTTTGCAGATTAACAGAAGAGATGAAAGAGAGGTAGAGTGACTTTCTAACAGTTAACATGTGGCTGATCATGTGAGACTAGACCTTGGACCCATCTCTCTTGCTTCCAGAAAATACAGGGGTGATCCACCCTGGTTTTTTGGATGAGTCGTATCACATTGGAAGTATATTGCTGGCCTGCTAAAGAATCAGAGAGGATTTCTGATGTTGAAGTTAATAAACAGGGACACCTTTACTTTTTATTGCAAATCATTGCTTTTTGCATTGATCCAGTTGTCTGAAAAGCCACTTCTTTGTAACTTCAGTCAGTGAGCTTTGCTAAACATTGAAAGAAGTGCTTTAAAATGATAGTTGCTTAAACATTTCAGGTCCAGGGAGTCACTAAGAATTTGTAAATGTCTCCACTTAACTGTGCTGAAATTGTGTGGGAGAATAATGCATTTAGACTAACCACTGACAAAATACTTCAAAAAGGGAGGGTTAGATTTTTTTAGAGCAGGTGAGATTTAGCAAGTTTTTGAGTTAAGAGAAGGACTTAGCTTAGTACAGAGTTCAAGTTGTGGTTTATCCCCAGCACAGTCCAGGTAGGCACTCTTGCATCTTTGACATGTCTAAGAGTCTGGTTTTAGGGTTTAGTATAGCCATGTAAATGGGTTGACAAAAAACATGTTTATGGTGAATGTCAGTTTGTTATTGGGTTGTGGAATTATTAATAGCAGGTATGATGGTGGATTGTTCCCATCTACAGGTAACTTGGAACATAGAGATGCTTACGGTAAATGTTTATTGCTTATGATGAATTATACAAATGTTATTGTAGTTTGCCATTCTTGTGTTAATTGTGAAGTCATTTTTCTCAGTCATGTCTGACTCTTTGTGACTTTATTTGGAGTTTTCTTGGCAAAGATACTGGAGTAGTTTGCTAGTAAGTGTGAGGCTAAACTTGAAGATCCTCCTCACTCCAGGGTACTCTATCCAGTGTACCACCTAGCTGCCATTCTTATGAGAAGACAAATACTTGGTTATTTAAAGTTTATATAGCACTTTGATTTCTTAAAGTAAGCTACCTCCTCAGTCTCTGCTTGATCCTCTTCCTTTACTTATCACCTTCTCTTCATCCCAGAATTTTACTTTTTTCTTTCCTTAACTACCCTCTTATCGTTGATGTTTTGACATGGGATGTAAAGAAGATCTTTTAGAGATTCGCACATCATGGTTAGGAAGCTAGTTTTCTGACTTCATAGTTTTTTTTCAGGGATAAATGCAGTTGTGAGAATTTTTTTTTAGTTTCTTGGAAAATAGATAATTTGTAATACTATTATAGGTAGGGTATCATTTTTATAAATGACATTTCCATTTCTCAACTAAGATCTTGATCATGTGAGTCCTTGATAGATCCTGGACCTGTGATTTCATTGAGAAACTTTCTCTACCAGTGGAGGCTGGCACCTTCTTTGCAATTCATAGTTTTAGAAAGTTGCCTAGGTCCTGAGGGCACTTGGCCAGAGTCACACAGGTAATATGTGTCAGAACTGAAACTTAAATCCTGGTCTTCCTGGCTCCTTAGACCAGCTTTCTTTCCACTATGCCTTGCTGCCTTATTTTAATATTGTAAATGTTTTTTAATTTGTATTTTTTTGCAGTGTATTTATCTGCTGCTATTTTACAGTCTTTTTTTATTTGATAATTAGTGTGTCACTTTTGGTACTGATGGCTTTTCTAAGAAATCAAATTACCGTGGAAGAGTACAAGACTGAGTTCCTATAATTTTACTGCCAAGTCCTCATAATAGGGTAGCATCAAATGAGAAGGTGGAAGGAGGGACTACAAGATAGTTGAAAGCTAACAAGCAAGTTTAGGGTAGCGATCTCAAATCTTGATAGGGCAGTAATTGGGAAAGTATTAAAGGCTGATTTGTACATTAGGGCAAGAGCTGTTTGGGTCCAACAGAATGGAAATGAGGGGTGGGTTAGAAACTTAGAGGATCCCAACTTGGAGAGAAGGAAGGGGGAACAAGAATGTATTAAACACCTAGTATATGTCAGCCACTGTACTAATTGCCTTACACATATCTATTTGGTCCTCAAACAACAACCTTGGGAGGTAGGTTCTAGTATTTATTATCCCCATTTTTTAGTTGAGGAAACTGGGGCAGACAGAGGCTCACTGACTTGTTCATAGGCACACAGCTTGTAAGTGTTTGAGGGTGGATTTGAACTTGAGTCTTCTTGACTCCAGGCCCAGCTCTTCATTGCATGACCTAATTGCAAAGAGAGGCATTTCTTTGCAGCACAGTTTGGACTTCATGGGCTGGAAAATAAGAAGTCTTTTTCCTGAAGATTAGTGTCTTGCAGGGACAGACTGCAGACAGAACTGTCACAGCATACTGTGAATTACTTAGTGGATGTATTGCCATCTTATCTATGATGGGGGAATTCATAACCCAAAGAACTTTTGAGGTATTACCACAGTTACCACCCTAATAAATGTTAGCAGATTAATAGTAACAACTCAAGTCTTTGCATCTACCTCAGGAGCAAGCAGTCAGGCACTTGGATCTGGTCTAAGTCAGGAATGCTAAGAAATCCAAACCAATTTCTAAGGTGTCATATTTTATTAACAGTAGTTTAAAGTTTAAATATAAGCGAAGAAACAAATGGAAACCAACAAACTACTCCCCTACTCCAGCAGTTTATAATTTGTTGATACAATGTATTACAAACATTCACCTTACCTGAACCAAAAAAGAGACAAGGAAATATCATCTTCCTGTTGATATGTTAACAACAAAAATATTTTGATGTAGTCAAGTTTGTTAACAATAGTGTCTCTCTCTCTCTCTCTCTCTCTCTCTCTCTCTCTCTCTCTCTCTCTCGATATATATCATATTACATATTTTCTACTTTCTTTAAAGCTATTAAAAAACCCAGTGAAATAGTCTTAATTTGCCTAGAGATCATATCTCTACCCAATTTCAGTGTCCTAGGAATAAGTTAACACTTTATTTTCCTTTCAGTTAAAGAAAAATAAGAAGAAATCAAAGTCAGAGGTTAAAGCAGTGCAGAACAGTTCACGCCATGATGGAAAGGAAGTTGATGAAGGTACCTGAGCAGGGAAGGGAACACAGTCATCTATTTTTCTGAGTTGTATTTGTTTAATGATGTATCGTCTAACTCCTCTTTTCATACCTTTGTATCTTATTATACAAATTTGTGACTTTACTAATATACACTTTTATAATTGGAATTTGTGAAACATTGAAATCTTGCCAGTGATTTCTCTTAGTGAAAAAACCTGTCATGCTCCTTGGAGGGAGCATTCTGAGGTTTAACTGAATACCTTAAACAGTTAGATGTACCTACTTAGTCTTTGATTCTTAAAGATCAGTGTTTTCCCCTAAAAACCTCCCATCTTGTTAGAGGACTTAGAGTGCCCTTATTTAGGAGCCCCCTTTATTGTCATCTGAAAAACATAACTCCAGTATGTTTTTATATGACACTGTTAGGCTCTGTCCCCAACAAGGTAAAGACACAAGATATTTTCTCTCATCCCTCAGCTTCTATGAGACATCGGTGATAAGTTTGACAGATTATCTGGAGGAAAGCATGAGGATAGCTGGTGTCACCCATGTAGTTCATTGCCAGAGAAAATGTTAGATCAGACTCTTATCTCATGTAATCAGCATTGTTCTGATTTTTATTCTACAACCTAAATTTGTCATGATGCCCTGTTCCATTTGTTTTGTTTCTGTTTTTTTTTTTCAACGCCACCCTTTTGGTTTGTCCTTACTAAATACCTTTTTTTTTCTCCCTGGGGCTATGTCAGGAGCCTGGGAAACTAAAGTCAGTAACAGAGAGAAACGGCAGCAGCGTAAGCGCGACAAGGTGCAGCCTGATACTGGTCCCTTGGATCCAGCTGTCTCGGGGATAGAAAGTGCCTATACAGTAACCACTGAGCAGCTTATTACAGCTTCGTTTCCCGTTGGTTCCAGGAAGAATAAAGGTACTTAGTGGAGCATAAGAGGGACACATCAAAGATGAACTCCTATTCTGAGCTACGACATAGCATCATGAGTTCAGAACCCGACAATCACGGCATTTGTATAATGAACCATGATTTAGCTAATACTAGCAACATTATATACAATACCTTTAAAAATAAGGCCCAGCAAAGCAAAAACTGCATAGCCTTAACTAAAACTCATAGCCTAAGAGGAGAAAAAGAAACAGCCTGCTTCCCTCATCTGTATTTCCTTTGCCCCTAAAATAAAGTATACTTTCTGTCATCCTCATTTGTCATCATGATGTAGACATTTAGTACATTGAAGCGTTTTGTCAACAGCTTGCGTGTTTAGTGTCTTCCTTGAACAGTCTGAAGCAAGCATTTCTGGAGAAGTGTAGATCCTGAGGTCCTTGAATCCTACTTTAAAAGAATGTTTACAACATCAGCTGTTAGGTCATTTGAGTATTTTGCAGATGTTAAAGTGATAGAACTAAAAGGAACCTTGAGAAATCATTTGGACTAGTTCTATGCCACTGAGTATGCTCAAATTATCTAGTTATCTGGAAGTTCTACATATATTGCTATCATTTTCATCCAGGACAGGCTCAGAGTGATCATGTTAAGTTTGCTTTAGTCTTTGAGTTGTCTTTTCCTTGGCCTCATCATTGTCTTCACTTGCTTCCTTCTCTTTCGCTTTGCTGCCTGTATGCTTAGTGGAATTTATCAGCATAATGCAGCAGTGACTCATTTTTGTTGAATTTCCCCAGTTTCACTCCTTAGTAATTTTTAGTTCATATCCCTTTTTCACTGTCATATGCATGCCTTTTTGTCAGCCTCTTCAGTATGATCCTGTAAATGCTGTTTTGGGAAGAGAAGAATACATTGTGATTTATGTTCTTAGGTATCAAAGAACAAATGTCTAGGAACTCCAAATTGTCTTCTTCCCTCCCCTTACCCCCCTAAGTTTCCTGGTCCCAAAAGTAGTATAGCCATTTCCCAAGTCACAATGTTGCTTCTGCTGGGATGATTGAAAAGGTATCTGAAATAGCTCAAAATATAATCGAATTTTTAGACTTAGAGATCTTAGACCTTAGAGATTATATAATCCATTTTACAGATGAGAAAACTAAAACTAAGCTGTTACCACCTAAGATCACATAGCTAATTAGCAGCAGAACTAGATCTCCAGACTCCCAATCTCATTAGTACTTTTCAGTGATTTACTTCTGTCATCATCTTATTATTTAGCAAAGATTAGCTCTCGTGTTCTCAGTAATAGAAAAAAGAGGGGAGAGAGTCAAAAAGAAAGGAATCAGCATAAATTTCTAATTTTAGAAAATTTTGCTTATAAAATGGTAAAGTTGAATACAGTTCCAGTGACCCAGTTCTTTAGTTTTCATTTCACAAATCTTTAGTCACATTATAGAATTTCCTTTCAAAGCATAATCTTAAGTTTAGGCATTTAAGTACTTCTCAAACCTTTTATTGATTCTTTATTAATTAATGGTGTAATTAAGAAAGCTCAGTTCCCTAAAAGTAGACATGAAATATCTTTGGTGTACACCTGACTTTCCATTCTGATCAAACCTAAACAAAAGAAGAGTAACTCATTATAGCTGTTCAGTAGAATTGAAATCATGTTGTTTCTAAGTGAATTTGACCTATATAGTTCCCTGCTTAATGTTATATGAAATTTATTTCTGTTTCAACCAGGTGATTCTCTTCTCAGTGTTCAAGGTAGCAACTTTAAGTCTGGAAAAGGAGATCTCACCCTTCAGGGTAAGGAGTTAGGCAATCAAGCATTTTTAATGAGTCCCAAAAGTATTTTGGGTTAATACTTGCACATAGGGATTAAAAGGCTTCTCTCCTTCCCTCTGTCCACCCCACAATGTTAATAAAAAGTAAATAAAACCAGTACTCTTTAACTTTAGAAACAAGTATTACTTTCAGGTTTCCACAACTGACATTTGTGCTTTAAGGTTTGCAGTACCCTTTCATACATTCTTGCTTCAGCCTTGTGAGATAGCTGCTATAGCTATTATCCACATTTTACAAAGGAGGAAACCATAGAAGGCCTAGAGAAATTAAAAGGACTTGCCAGTGGTCATAGAGCTAAATATCAACTTTAGGATTTTGAACCTAGGTCTTCCTGACCCCGATTCTGATGCTCTATATGCTATACTACTCTATCTCCAAAAAAAATTGAATTTATTGCAGTCTGTAAAACTTTTGAGACAGCATTTTCAGGTGTCATCTTCATATCTAACTACCATTATCATCTAACTGACATTCATATGCATGAATATATCAGGAGAGGAGAGAAATGCAATATTGATGTAGAATATAAGTTTCTTAGGGGCAGGATTTGTATGCATATCCCCAGCACCTGGCACAATAACAACAAAAACAATAATATTTTTAAAGTTTGTACTTTATATCTCTTATCTCATTTGGTCTGCACAACAACTCTGTGAGGTAGATGCTGTTATCTCCATTTTACAGATGAGCAAACTAAGACTGAAAGAGGTTAAATGACTTGCCCAGAGTCATACAACTAGTTTATATGTAAAGTAGGAACTTGGGTTTTTTGAAATCCAAGTCCAGCACTCTGTCCACTATGCAACTTTGCTGCCAGAATAATTGTCAATTAACAAATGCTTATAGATTTAGTCATTAATTGATTGTAAGAACCCTCATGTTCTCATTCAGGTTTATCATATCTAAATATGTCAATGTATGTGGTATATAATACTTCCTTTAATGTCATAATGCTACTGAAGAATTAGATTGCACTAGTTTGACAAAGTATTTCAAATTCCATGCCAGAATCCATAGAATCTCAAAGCCAAAGTGACCTCAGGTCCTATCTAGTTCAACTTGTACTCAAGCATCCTCTTCAGGCAGCTTTTTCCACTTTTGGGTAGATCTAATTGTTAGAAAATGTTGCCTTAAATTTGTTTTTCCGTAACTTTCACCCATTGCTCTGTTTCTTCAGGATTGAATGAAAACCCTACTGTAAATGGAGGCAGCTGGAATGAAAAGTCAATAAAAATCCCTTCACAGATCAGTGCAGGTGAGGAGAAATGGACATCTGTGTCATCTGCTTCAGCTGGAAAGAGGAAGATTGAGCCATCTATTTGGGGTCAGGATACTGGAGATACTAGTGCAAATGGAAAAGACTGGGGTGTGTCCCTGGTGGGAAGGACCTGGGGTGAACGTTCATTATTCCCTGGCACTGGTAAGAGCTACTAAATCATGTTAATTCAATTTACTAACTTTGTGTAACTGGAAAATTTGGGATTTTCCAGCCTTTAAAAAATCCTCAGGTAGTAAAATAATATTGTATAACAATAAAATCTCACCCAAGGAATTGTGTGCAAAGATTTTCAAGAAATTTCTAATAGAAATTCAGTATATATAATACAGAAAGAAATTATAGTCTTATGTAAGTGTCAGCATTTAGTAGCCTCAGCAAAACATTTACAACACATTTTGCCATTCTTAATTTTTTAAAGATAAACTAGTGAGGAGCTTTTTGTCTGAGTTCCACTAAAAAAAAAATCCTTCATTTCATGGTCATATGAAATAAAAAAAAATTTGGGGAATTCACTTAGTTTATTTGTTTACTTTTTAGAAAGCATAAAATGTGCTTTTAAAATCAAAAACAAAAATAAGGAGTATGAAATTTCATTAAATCCAGTATTCACAGGATTCATTATTTCAATCTGGGTGCTTCCTCTAGAACCTAGATTAATACTCCTGGTGAAGAACTGTCCGGTTATGAAATTCCTTAGACTTACCTCGGTTTGTCTGGAATAGCTAGTCTTCTGCTTTTTGAGCTTTTTTAGGGTTAGGATATACAGTATGGCTTTGAGGTTGAGGACCAAAAGGAAGGGACAAGGACAGGAAAATTATCTTGTCTGATGAAGGCACCTAAAGGCAAAGATCTCATTCATTTGCCAATATGGCAGAGAACTGCGGAGTTGGTGCAGAATAAAGAGCCTTTAGGGTTTTTTTTTAACGATAATTGAAATGGTGTTCTAGTATTAGAATTTCCTGTAAAATTTTAATTTTCACTTAGCATTTGGGAACATGAGTGTTCTTAAAATCCCACATCGGTGTTTTTGACATCCCGCTTCTTCATTTTCTTCATTCCTCATAGAAGAATCTCAGCTGCTTGCTCTGCAAAGTGGCATGGGGATCATCAGTAAACAATTAATATTTATTAAGTGCCTACTTCGTGTCAGGTGCTGTGCTGAGATGAGGGAGCAGAGGATACTCAGAACATAGTGGATTATCATTTTAAAATGTTCCTTAAAATCAGTAGGTATAAAATAAAATAGGATTTTTCTCAGAATGTTGGAGTACATGTTTATGGCTTGAAATTATCTTTTAAAAAAAATTGTCATTTCAAATCTGTGCACATATTAACATTGCCACTACAGATTGAAAAGTTCTAAGTAACCTTTGTTTTGACAGCTTCTTGCTCTGGTAACGTGGATAGGAGGGTAAATAATTCGACTGAGCAGAATTCTGCTCCCTTTCCATCTCTGGCACTCACCACTGCAGTTTCTGGTATGTGAAATCAATTTAAACTGTGTTTGAAACAAATTAAATTTTATCTTTTTTTGTAAATACATTTCATTTTAAATTTCTTGGAATTTTTGGAAGGAAGTACTGTCATCAACATTAAGTTACTCTGTAAGGTAATAGTAATATGTTTCAGAATAGTGGCCCTTTTCTTCTCTGTGAGAGAGGTCCTGTCTAGAGTTAGGAACCAAGGCAGATGTTTTCATCTTATGTGAGCCCAAAAGTGTTAGTGGTTGCCTTTCTCTTTACCCATCCCCCACTGCCACCAGGAATTAAAAACCTTTTTCTTTCTTTGAAAGAAACCACACCAATTAAGTCTCAAGCCCCTCCCCCCTAAAAACCAAAAGAAAGGAAGAAATTATTGTGAAAAAACTTCATTATAAAATTGTTTTTTAATTTTTTTGCGTTCGTTTTCTCACTTAAGGGTCTACCGCTGAGGTTTCTCAGTCTACTGCTTCTGATTTTCAGTGGGATGTAAGCCGTAATCAACCCCATATCGATGATGAATGGTCTGGGTTAAGTATGTCCTTTTAAAAATTACAACAAAGCTTTTTCTCAGCAGCTTGCTTTTAAATAACCTTACTATTTTGTGTCTTTGCCTCTAATTTTATACCTTTTCAACTTTAGTTCAAAAGAATTTAATGTCAAATGCCCTACTTGAAAACTGATTAATATAATGCCATACTTAAACTAACTCCATACTTGAAATGATGTTTAAACACAAATTGCTGTTTCTATTCTAAAGCTACCCTGGGAAATCAAGGGCAAAATGATTGCCTTAAGTTTTTGCTGTTAAATCTCAGTGTAGCATGATCAAGGACATAAAATATGGAGTGGCTTTGAATTTTTAGACTCTAGAGTCAGCAAGTTTTTGCACCCAATGAAAGAAATTGTTATATAGCACCTTGTTTTACAAAGCATTTTCCTTGCAAACAGCCCTGTAGCTGTACTGTTTTGAAGGTGAGGATTGAAGATTGAAATCTTGCAAATGCTTAAGTAACTTGAACAAACTCATATACTATGGTGGGGCCAGATCTGAAAAGGACTTTTCCACTAAGCCTTTACTGTCCCAATAATTCTCAATGATATTATAGAAAGCTTTATAGAAAGGCCACATAAAAAGGCAAGAGTGTCAGAAAAGGCCAAAGGAAAGTGAAGAACACTGCTACTTTTTTCTTCATGTTGCAATTATCTCCTAACTCATTTATAAATCCTAAGCTCCCTTTGAATCCTGTGGTCCCTACCTGGTATGTAGCAGCTATGTGAGAGTCCTGGTTTATTTGGGAGTGTTCATAAATTAGTTAACCAAATGATCCCACAATGTGACACACAGTAGCAGAAGCAAACCTGACCACATTAACAGAAGCACAGCACCTAGAACCCTGACTTCAGATATTGCCCATCCCAGTATAGGGAGCCAGGGCAGATCCTTAGGTTCCGAGTCTGCCATACTCCAAATCTTGATTATTTGTGTCCCTTAGCCAGTAACAACCATCACTGCCTCCAACTCCTGCTTCCTTTTCTTCTTTTTGGGTGTGTGCAATTTTTCTAGGGTTAATTTGTAGGGCTAAAGGTAAGCATACTGGGTGACACAGTCTTAATTATCTGTCCTTTTATTTCACAAGGTTCATAATTTCATCATTGTGGATTCTCTCTACACTCAGTGCAGATCTCAACATTTCTAGACCTTAATACTAAACAAATTATTTGCTTTTATCCAAAACTTAGATCCCTTGATGGCCATCTTCCTTTTGATGAGCCTTACTGAACTGAGCTGGATGACAGGCTATGCAGTGTGCCAGGTCCTTACTCACAGCCTTTCCATGTTTCTAGAAATTGTCTCACATCATCTCAGCTGTATAGACTACCAAAATAAAAGTCCAAAGGGGTACCTCTCATCCATGTTTGCCCAGATCTACAAAGCCTTACAAGGGGCTCCTTTATTAAATTTGATCATTGATATTTCCATCATTTAAAAACCTTCAGATAGATATTCATTGTTGTTTATTGTAAGGCCATGCCATTTTTAGCTCCTTTTTCAACTGAGAAGAGCCCATTAAATTGTTAATTTTTCTTTTCTCCATTTAATTTTGGGTTTTCAAACACTTCCTTTAAATCATCCCAGCCCCCAAGAATGAATTACTCTCCTAATCCCTAAAGTTGAAAGAATGAAACTTTATCAGTAAATAGCTCTCATAACCCCTGCATGTGGACATTTTTAAAAAGAATGAAAAGTTCCTCATTTCCTTTATGATCCAGGGTCACATGCCCAGTGGCTAAAGCCAAGAAGTTTACGTTACACAAAAGATCAAGTTAAGTAGAATCCCTTTCCCAGGATCCTCTAGGCTTTTCATGTTAGCATTCCCTACCCTATAATACAGCAGAAACTATGAGCTTTTTTGAGAATCATTCTGTAATCCCCTAGGGTTGTGTTTCCCACTAACCAGGCCATCCAACAGACCAAGATTATTGTCCCCAATAGAGAAGTAGTTAAAAAGGCAAGTAGATGATTGAGTGTTGAATTCCATGTATGTCTTATCCATCTTTCAGTGTAATTTTGTAGTATAAAATGTAGTGTAAAATGCAATTATGTTCTATAGTCACATTAAGGACAATGTTTTAGATACTTTTTTCTGTAGTAATTTAGTCATGTTGAATGTCCTTTTCAAAATTTGCGTAGGAAGAAACTGAGGACCAGAAACTTCTAAGAATGTTACTTTAATTTTTATGGCATATAATTTTAATATGTCCATGTTGTGATCTATAAAGATAGTTAATTGTAGGGGAGTCATTATACTTGGTTATTTTGTATCTCAGGTGGATAAAATAAAATTGTTGAATGAGGCTTTTATTTTTTGTGAAATAGAGTGTCTTTCAAAGGTGTAGTAACGTATTTGACTTCTAGAAGATGAGGGAGGATTGGAGTAAATGACCTCTGAGATACCTTCCATTTCTAGATCTATGATATTAGACTTTTAGATGTATAAGGATTTCTTCCATTTTTTTAATGGAAACTATGAGGAGTTTGAAATTCATAAGTGTTTATTGGAAATGTGTTCTGTACATCTCTTTGTGTATCTATCACTTGAAGGCCCCTCCCAATTCACAGGTTTCCTAGAGACAGCTACTCCAAGTTCAAGGTCCTCTGGCCTGCATACACAAAAATCCTAGCTAGTGAACCCTTATTGATGTATTTTTCTTTACTAGCCAGCCAGAAGAAGCAGTTAGTTCAAAGCCATGTCATTTAATGAAGTGGTATAATAAGAAAAGTAGCAGTAAAGCATTTCTTCCTTAAACTTGGAAGTTTTCCTACAAATGCACATGCCAATAAGAAAAAATAGGTACATATAAGAAACATTTATGGAAGGGTACATGTAGGAAATTCATGTGGCTGGGATATATTAATGGTCATACACCCACAAAGATGTAGGTGATCAAGCAATAAGATCAAAAGATCAAATCATACTTAAGCTGTAAGACTGCTTAGTTGATTCTGATAGGGAGGTCACTGTGCTTTCCATTGGTTCTATGCCTGCCAGATTCTGTTCCACTAAATCCATGGTCTACAACTGAACATTGATTTGCTGCTTTTGGCCTCAGTTATAAATGTTTACCTAGCTTTTCCTCCTGAATATGTTCTTTTAGTTGAAAAGCCAAAGGAAAAAGGAAAAGTTGTGGACCATCAAACAACACTAGCAGGGAACCTTTTGACTTTTATGGAGTGACTCGTCTTATTATGTCACTAGTCTTTGATAAGGGACAGCCACGTAGTGAGGTGAATAGAGCACTGGGCTTGGGAGTTAGGAAGACTCATCTTCTTGAGTTCAAATTTGGCCCCAGACACGTAGTAGCTGTGTGACCCTGGGCAAGTCACTTAACCCTATTTGCCTCACTTTCCTCATCTGTAAAATGAGCTGGAGAAAGAAATTCCAAACCACTCCAATATCTATGCCAAGAAAACTCCAAATGAGGTCAGACAAAACTGACTGAACATCTTCAATAAGAGATTCTCAGGCTCTAACCAGGGGTGGGAAACCTGCTGCCTTGAGGCCACGTTTGGCCCTTTAGGTGCTCAAGTGCCACTTATTGACTGAATCTAAACTTCACAGAACAAATCCCCTTAATAAAAGGATTTGTTCTGTAAAACTTGGACTTGAGGCTACAGGCTCTTTAAAACACAGAACAAAGACACTCCTAGTTAAGTAACTGGTTATTTACCTCAGGCTTAAGTCTCATTTTCTTTGGACTAAACTTGTCATTTTGCCTGGGCAGGGATTGGGGGCGGGGTGTGGAGTGGATAAAGGTTCAACCTTGTTGGCAACCTCACTGGTACTTGGGATGAGCATTACCTCCTGATCTTAATCTCTAAAGACTGGACTATATTTTTAAATTACACATATAAGGGCTATTCACTAAAAATAATTACTCCTAGACTTCAGGGTTTTCCCCAGTTTTTTCAATTCTTAGCCTCTGAGGTTCTTACTTTTGGATTTATTGGGGAGTGGGGAGAGACATGGAGATAGATAAAGCTAAGAAAGAAAGTTATTGTCACCTCCTGTCTTTTCATGTGTAGATATGGATAGCAAAACATTTAGTTTTTTTATAGGAGAACTGATTTTAAGATCTCCCAGGTAAGGCCATTTGCCTTTCTCTTTTCCGAAAACCCTTATTTTCCCCCATTGACTTATTCCTGGTTATCATTTGTTCTTGTTAACATTATAGAAACCTGGTATTTTAGTGCTATAAAGGAAACTAGAAATAAGTTTTCCTGTTGACATTTCTAACCCCACAATTATGTATATTGTTAATTTAGTTGGAGAGATAGTACTCACCTGATTTCTTCTCTCTTTACTCTTCCTTAACTTTTAAGTTTCAGACCAAGTGACAAATTATTTTATATTTCAATTGTGATATTAGAGCAGTGGATTTAGGTAAAAGATTATTTATTGTTCAAGTCTTATCTTTACTAGCTGTATGGGCTTGTACAAAGTCACTTAAACTTTCTAAGCTTTGGTTTCTTGTCTGTAAAATAGGTATAATAATTGCATTATGTGACTCATAAAGTAAGGATTGTTTGTTCTATAATAACTTTCAAAAAAGTTGACTTAGACTAAAAATGATATATTACTAATGGGAATCAAGATACATCTGAAATTTGATTTGAGGGTAGGGGGAGATCAGTCTGCCATCTTGAAACTAAATGGTCATCATTCAAAATGTTCTCAAATTAATATCTATAATTTTAAAGAAATTTTAATAAAATCAGATGGGTAGACAGAATAGGGAATATTCTGAGTAGGATCTCCAGAACCCCTAGTTTGTGAGCAAGGAATTATGGCTACCTTAGGTCTCTCCCAGCTCTGAGCCAGTCTTTACATCAGACACCGAAGCAGTTTTCCTAAAGTGTGTCTACTCAACAAAAGTCCTTATTTGGCATTTAAAATAACCCTTTATATTCTGGCCCCTTCTTACTTTCCTAGTTTTGAGTACTGTTTTTTTGTTGTTGTTTCTTGTTTTTTACATTTTACTCCCCCCTGCCCCATACATGTTTTGATCTAGCTATTGACCTACTCTTTACTAGTACCCCTAGCTGCTGTAGTCTTTCCATGAGATTTCCTTCATCTATTCTATATGACTGTTATATTCTATATATATCATATTCTATATGACATATTCTTGCTGTTTCCCATATTATTTTTGTACTCTCAGATAATCCACTGAACTGGTTTTTGTTAAATTCCTTGAGGACGGGAATTATTTTTTCCTTCTTTCTGTCTTCAACATTTAGCAAATAGTGAGCACTTCATAATTGCTTGTCTTTTGTAATGTTGTTTAAAGAGAGTTGCTTATTTGGATTGGGTGAAAAGGGGATTTTATTTCTTCAGGTTAACTAGGAATGGCACCATGAGTGTAGAGTTTTAATAGCTTCACTTAAGTGAAGGAAGGTAGAGGAATAGTGAAGTTCATTCTAGACATGAGGCAAAGGAATTCTGGAGGTGGCACACAAACGGTTGTAGAATTTCGCAATAGGACTTCTTCCATACTGCAAGGATCTCTGATTCTATTAGTATTTGTTAACTGGTCCTCTCAGCACAGATTATATTCCTTGGTAGATAGCCTTCAGGAGTCATTTTATCCAGAAAATTATTCATGTGCCCTATGTCAGTCTATTGAACAAACAGGTTGAAGGGGAACCTTTAGTGGAGAAAGATGGGAGTGGGTGAGGTATTAGAAGAAGATAAAACAGATTGGAAAGAAGTTATGTTTACTTGATAGGAAACTATTCAAAGTGAAGCTTTAGAAGGAAGATTAGGTAGTTAAAAAGACAGTTCTATTAGGGAATCCATGGACTCATAAAAAGGAACTTGGCAGAAAAAAGTTGGTTGAAATAATTAAGGCCGGAAATCACCAAGTTCTAGAACCTACCTTGGTAGATATTGTAATAATAGGAAGGGGGAAATTCAGGAAATAAAAAGGAAAATGGGAATACTGAATGACTAAGTAGTAGAATAACTTGGCTTAAGTTATATACCTAGAAAACCAGTTCAGTGGATTATGTGAGAGTACAAAAATAAGGTTTTGCTAGCATGCTGTTTTGAAAGGTGCTGTGGTATAGAATTGGCCTTGGAATCAGGAAAAACTGAATTTCTAAGTCCCATCTCTGATACCTGCAGGCTTTGTAACCCTCACTAATTAGGCTCTCAGTGTCCCAAGAAATAAGTTACAAACTCTTGCTCATCTGCTTTAGTAACAGGAGTTTTCTCATTGAGAGTCACATGTCCCAGTGAAATGACAGGTTCAACTAATTCCTTCTGACCTTTTACGGAAGTAAGGGATGTATGTAGGGGGGTGGGACCTTTTTACCCCATTATGAAGTTATTGCTAAACAATCATTGTAACTATGGGACAGAAGCCTTGTGAAAGCTGGAGTGTTTTGCTATTATTTTTAAAATAGGAAGAGTAGGCATTTATATGGTGCTTTCATTTTATAGATGGACTTTCTTCTGCTGATCCCAGCTCTGATTGGAATGCTCCAGCTGAAGAGTGGGGGAATTGGGTAGATGAAGAGAAGTCTTCATTTCTGAAATCCCAGGAGTTGGTCCATGATGAGAAAGTAAGTAAACAATTTATTAATTTATTTGTTTTTGTTCCTTTAATTAAACTTCACATTTACCAAGAAAAGGGGTTTGCTGTTGTATTTTTTATCATTTCATAATCCAGTAGGAGGCGATTATAGCATTAATCCACATTTTCAGTGCTTTCTATCCATAACTTTTGAAGCATAGGGAGGGACACAAGACTTTACTTCCATATGCTAACTGAGGTACCTGAGTTACATTACAGCTTTTTAATAAATACAGGAAATGGACCAGAAGATTGCTCTAATATTCTATAATTCATTGAGGAGTGTGTGCTCCATCCGGTGGTAGAGATTGTGGACTATCCACACTTGGTCATTCTGTCTAGTTCTTGTTCATAATCTACCAGAATATCTCTCCATCACACTGTAGGCTTTTCTTTAGGTCTTTTAACATTCCATGGGTCTAAGCGTTAGACCCAGGTGGTCTGTAAGTTATCCTTTGCTGTTGCTACATGCAGGCTCCACATCCATTTCTGGTCAGACATTTCCTGGATGATAGCTTTTATGCCACTTCCTCAGCACATCTTCATTGACAATGTGCTATGCTATACTCTACCAATCATACATCTCTCCATTGCCTTATACATATTTTTTATTCTTATAGATATTAGGGAGCTATTCCATTTCCTGACTCCAGGCATTTTCACTGGCTGTTCCTCCATGTCTGAAATTCTCTTCCTCTTCACCCTCACTTCCTGGCTTCCTTGGTTTCCTTTAGGTTGCAGCTTCAATTCCTCCTCTACAAGAAGCTTTTCCCAGTCCGCCTCAATACTAGTGTCTTTTGTCTGGAATACAGCCTCTCTGTACATAGTTTGCATGTTTTCTCCTCCATTACACTGTGAGCTTCTTGAGAGTAGGGGCTGTTTTTTGCCTTTCTTTCCTTCTCCAGTATGTATAGCCCTGTGCCTAGAATGTATGTAGGCACTTATAAAATGTTTAATGACTGACTATTATTGTTGTGGTGTCTCCTGAATTGTAGCCATATTGCTTCATCAGATAACATGCATTTGTGTTCAAAAAGATGAGTTTTGTTTCAGGATTGTGGGAAGGAAATGTTATACAATTTCCATAATGCATTCCAATTTGTACTTTGCTTCTTCTTAAATATTGGGCCCATACAGAGTCCGTCTGTTTGCCTGTCTGCGATAGACTCACTCATCAAACTGTATATCTACTTATACCTTATAGTCTGAACATAGACAGTATTCATCCATTTGGCTTTTCTTATATGGATTGTTAGAATGATTTCTTTTGTGTGACTGTGATCTCATTTTGGAGGTTCTCTAGTATCCTGAGGCTTGATGCAGTCAATGCAGTATCTCCATCAAACAGCATCCGGAGGCCCTCGCCACCTTTACCTAATCTCTCTTTCAATTTAGATTTTGCATAGGACACATATAGAGAATGAACCCAAGGGAGTTAAATCTAAGATAGTGAGATAGGAGCACTAGCAGTTGGGAGGATCAGGTAAGGTTTCATGTATCAATGAGTGAATAAAATATGTCAAAGCACTGGGGATACAAATAGAAAAATAAGACAGTCCTTGCTCTCAAGGAGCTTATCTTCTAATGAGTGGGATAACACATGCAAGGTTTCAGCTGCAAGTCAGATGGAAAAGCCCATGGGCCTTAGTATACAGCAACAAATCAAATGGTGATTTCCACTGACAGTGATGACATTTTCTGTGGAATCATTTAACAAGGTGAAGGATTTTCGTGGCAAAAATTTTTTTTTTTTGGTTCTTCAGTAGCTGTAGTACCTGTAGGAGTAGTTGCCCACCCACATCTCCACAGGGATTGCTTCCCAGGGTAACGGCTGAGGAAGTTGGGCTGGAAGCATTAATATTCCCTCTGTTTTTGTTCAAGTTATCTTCATCAGGGTCAAAGTGGTAGTAGTTGGTTAGCTCAACCTGGCACATATGCTGCCTCCTGTCTTTCGCTTAGGGTGCTTTGCCGCTTCAGCTAGGCTGGCTAACCTGAAAATATAGAAGGTGGTGTTTGAGTTGCATCTTGAAGGAAGTTAGGAATTTCATGAGGCAGAGCTAAGGAGGGAAGGTATTCCAAACTTAAGGGATGTCCAGCACAAAGGCATGGAGACCCAAGATAGAGTGCTTTGTGAGGAATGGAGAAGGCTTGTTTGACCGGACTGTGGAGTGGAGGAAAGGGAGTAAGACAGGGGAAAGATAGATTGGGACCAGGTGATGAGGGACTTTAGAATTTCTATTTTATCATAGATAAATAGGGAGCTACTGGAGTTTGTGGCCAGATCTGTACTTAAGAGAAATTACTTAGGTAACTGGTGGACAAATTGGAGAACTGAGGAACTTGAGTCAGGGAAACCTATTGTAAAGCCATTGTTTTTGTTGTTGTTTTGTTTTTAAATGCTTAGTTGACTGCACATGGAGGTGGGGAGAGGAGTAGCATGTGCACCTCTGTGCCGCCCCCAACCTCTATGCCCTCCCCCCATTTGATTGGTCTTTATTTTTTGGTAGTAAAGTTACGAGCTCCCCTCTTCTCTGCCATATTCCTCAAATGAAAAAAGAAAAGGAATTCTTGTGGTTAACAGTCAAAACAAATTCAAACATTTGCTACATTTAAAAATATCTTATTCTGTACCTTGAGTCCATCACACTACTGTCAGAAGATAGCAGTAGCATGCATCATCACTAACACTTTGGAATTGGACTTTGTCACGGTATTGATTATTTCTTAATTCTTTCAGAGTTGTTTCCTTTACAGTGTTTTTATTTTATACATTTTTCTTGTGACTGTGTTCACTTCACTATGTGTCGGTTCCTATAAGTCTTCCCCGGTATCTCTGAAACTCACTTTTTTCTTATGGCACAATGATAATGTATTATATTAATATATAATAATTTATTCAACTGTTACTCAATTATTGTTCCACCTCTCCCATAGTTCCCATTATATGCCATTGCAAAAAGAACCACTGTTAATATTTTTATACATGGGGTTTTTTTTTATCTTTCTTTGATATCTTTAGAATATAGGCTTAGTAGTTCAGTGATTTGGGGGGCTTAGTTCTATTGTTTTTCAGAATGTACTATCTGTGCATCAGTGTGCCTTTTTTAATTGTAACCCCTCCAACAATGAGCCTGTTATTTGAATAAAGTTTTGCAACTCCTGTGCTACACTGTTTCTTCTCCTTCCAGTCCTTTCCTCCAGACCTCTCAAATTCCTTTCCCATTTTATTTCATTTCTAGCATTTTAAAATTCTGGCATTTTTAATTCTATGAAATCCAGTAAATCTTGGAACAATTCTGTAATTTTCCTGGGGCATTCATTTGCAGATGATGTGAAGTTATTTTCTTTTGAGTTTCTATCTTGAGCGTTTTCTTGCATTTCCTCATTTTTCCAGCTTTACTTTTTAAATCTGTATTCAGGGTCAGAAGGGCATAACTACCAGCTTCAGGTGCCCTACCTTAGATTCTGGTCTGTGCTCCAATCTCCCTGGCCCTCACTTGCACCTGGTTCCTGAGCTGAAACGCTTCCGTGAACTGTGCTCCTAGGCTAGGCTGTTTTGTCCGGACCCCTTCCCTAGTTCTCATAGGCTTCTGGTTATCTCTTTGTGTGGACCTGGGTTGGCAAAGTGCACTTACCATTGTTTCTCCTTTAATTTCTCAATAGTTAATTGATGCCATGATTTTTTAATGTTTTTTCTGGAGTAGTTGTGAAAGAGCTGAGCTGACCTGTGGCTTACTATGCCATGTTGAGGGAGAGTCTCTTAAAGGCCACTCTAATAATCTAGGTGAAACCTGACAAAAACCTGAACTAAGGTGGATGTCTGTAAGTACGTAGAGAGTTAGATGGGGGAAATGTGGGCATAGAATTGGCATGATTTGTCAGTTGACGTTCATCTACCAAGTGATGAATAAGGATCTCATTTCTAAAACAAATGCTGAGAAAGTATAATCTCCATTTCTTGGAGTTTTTTAAAGTTAAATTTATTTTATTTTTAATTTATGAAATAAAACAAGTATTTCCATAATATAATATAATAAAAAGATGATTGTACATGAAACTGCAAATCTCTTATGTACAACTTGCTATTCCTTTTAAATATGTAATAAAGTTATGCAATTTTCTTTTTTTTTCCCCTCCCTACCACTTCTCCCTTGCGCTGGAGATGGCTATTATTCGATACAAATAGGTGTGTGTGTATGTAAAATTATTCTATACATGTATTTATCAGTTTTTTCTCTGGATGCAGATAGTGTTTTTATTCGTATGTCCTTTGTAGTTAATTTGGATATTTATAATAGTCAATGACTTACTCAAAGTTGTTCTTAAAACAATATTGCTATTATTGTATACAATGTTGTTCTCTTGGTTCTACTAGTTTTGCTCTTCATTATTTTGTGCAAGTCTTTCTTTTTGTAAGATCATTGAGTTTATCGTTTCTTAAAGCACAGTAGTATTCCATCACAATCATATACTGCAACTTGTTCAGCCATTCCCCAATTGATGGGCATCCCTGCAATTTTCAGTTCTTTGCCACCACAAAGATAGCTGCTATAAACATTTTAGAACTTATAGCTTCTTTCCTTTTCTTCTAATCATATTTTTAAATTTTAAACAAACCCACTCCATAACAAGACTTTGTTTATATTCTGCCTCTCCATTTATTACCTGTATTTTACAACATGGGTTATTTGTACAATTAGTTACTTTTCTTTGGGGAGTTTATTTTGTACTTTTTAGATTGCTCATGGTTTTTGCCTCTTCTTGGCTGCCTTTTGATCATTGTACAACTCAACTTAATTACAAGTAGAAAACTAAATGATAAAATTTAAATCATAAATTTTTTACTAGTTTTTTTTAAAAGTTTTCATTGATATCTTCTGTTTCTGAAATCATTATAGTTATCCCAAGTATCCTACCGACTTAGACTCAGAGTGCCTTCCCATATAAAAGCTAGCTTTTTTTTTTTTGAGAGAATTAGCTGATCAATAC